CGGCTGAGCGCAGCCAACTTTCCGGTCAAGCGCTGCACCTCCTTGACATTTCGTGGAGCCTCCATGTCAAGGATGGCGCGCACCTTCTCGGGGTTGGGCTCAATACCGCGCCTGCTCACCATGTGTCCCAAGAATTTGCCGCCTTGAACTCCGAACGTGCACTTCTTCGGGTTCAGCCGAAGGTTGTACTTCTCCATAATCTTGAAAACATCTTTTAAGTCTTCCGCATGGGTGGTCGCCTGCTTGCTCTTCACAATCATGTCGTCGACGTACGCTTCCATGCTCTTCCCGAGGACGGGCGCGAAGAGCTTGCTCACCATCCTAGCGTAGGTTGCCCCGGCGTTCTTGAGTCCAAAAGGCATCACCTTGTAACAATATACTCCGCCGGGGGTAGTGAAAGACGTCTTCTCTTTGTCCTCAGGGTGCATTCGGATTTGATGGTACCCGCTGAAAGCATCCATGAAACTCATGAGCTCGCAGCCCGCCGTCTCGTCCACCAGCTGGTCGATGTTCGGGAGTGGGAACGGATCCATGGGGCACGCCTTGTTTAGATCGGTGTAGTCCACGCTGGTCGATGTTCCCGAGTTTCCTCTTCCTTTGAGCGACGAAGTCCCCGCCAATGTTTCCTCCATGGATGAATCCCACCGGATATCCTTGGGCTTCGTCCTCGTCTAGATCATCACACTCTCGCCCAATGTGCCTCTTCTCAGGGTTCCTTGCTTGCGTGGCCACCGCGACCGGTTCAGCCGGCTTTCTCCAAGTTCTTCCTTCCGGCGGCCCCCGAGATGGGGCTGCTCCATCATCTCGGGGAGGCGGCCCTCGGGCAATGAGTCTCTGCATCTCCTTCTGGAGAGTGAAGCATTCCTTATTGTTATGAGTGTTGTTGCGATGATACTCGCAATACTTGGCACCGCTGGACACCGCATAGGTTTCTACGTGCGGGAGCGAGGAGAGGGCAAGCTCTCGACCCGTCCCCACGGGCGCACCCACGGAGTACACACTAGCCGAAGGCGTCCTCGGGCCCGCGGTGTAATCTTTCTTCTTCTTCCTCTTCTTCGCGGCCTCTCCGGAGTCTGCAGGAGCTCGCTTGGCGGGCGCGGCCTCAGAGTCGGGAGCATCATCGAACTCCTCCGAGGCTAGGAACTTAGCGCGCGCCAAGGTCTCTTGGTACGTGGGGGGAGGATTCTTGCGGAGCTCCTTCCTCACTTCTCCGCGGGGAAGGGCTGCTTGGAACATGGCCACCAACGCTTGGTCATCCGCCCCATGCACGTCTCTGGATTCCTTTTCCCACCGGACTATGAAGTCGCGGACCTTCTCTCCCTTGCGGATGCATATGTTGAGCAGGTGGAGGTAAGGGAGCCTCTGCCTTCGGTTTGCCGCGAAATGCGTCAAGAACTTCTCCGCTAGTGTATCCCAATCGTCAATAGTTCCCTTCGGGAGCCGGTTGAACCAATCGCACGCGGAGCCCTCCAGCGTCGCGAGAAAGCATCGACACTTGACCTCGTCTGGGGCTGCCGCCGCTTCCATAGAAGCATAGAACTTAGACAAATGATCTTAGGGGTCCGTCGTTCCGTTGTAGGCCTTGATCTGCCACGGCCGGAAGTTTGCAGGCAGCGGAACCGACATAACCCTCGGAGTGAACGGGGTTACCGTCCGCAAGATGGGCTGGCTGTAGGGAGCCCTGGTCTCCACTCGGCGCTTAAGCTCCGCAATCTCCCGTGCGAGCCGAGATACTCCTTGGTCAGAGACCTTTGTCTTCTCAGTTCTCGTCGGGCTATGGCGACGCTGGGTGCGCTCCTCCCGCCTCTCTCCGCTCCGCTCGGACCTCGCCGAGCGAGCATCCGATGTTGCGGACTCCTCAGCATGCCTCCGCCTGCCTTCGGCTATTTGTCGGCAGAGGTCGCCTGGGCAAACTTCCGGTCCGCGGTCGAGCCTGTCGAAGGCCGACACCCGGGTCTCTTCCCCTCCTAAGCGCCTGAAGGCTGACACTCGGCACTCGCTGGGCTCATCGTCCTCCTCATCCGGGACGTCCTCCACAATCACCTCCTCGATCGCCGGGGCCTTGCCGGGCCTCCTTCTACTCCTCCGGGTCTTCTTCCCCTTGTGTTGGGAAGTGGCAGCGTGTTCGGCATGGAGACTGGGCGGAGCTTTACCAACTCCGCCGCCGGGCACGTTCCCACCCATGGCGGAAAGTGCCGCAACGGCTGCCTGGAGCTGCTCCGCGGTCACCCCCAAGCCGAACAGCGCCTGGACCGCATCCGGAGTCGAGCTGATGCCGCCCGTACCATTGCCGCTGCCCGGCGTGTTCTCCTTGCCGATGACGTGGCTGGTGGTGGGGACGTTGCTCCTTGTTTGCACCATTCTCGCGTTCGGGAGTTAACCTACGAGTATGTTCCTCTCCTCTCAACGAGAGCACCAATTTGATGGCTATAAACCACCGAGAGTATGAAATAATAGAAGTTTTAGAGAGAGAGAATGCAAAGTAGGAGTATATTGATTTCAAACTTGGGATCCATTACAATGAGGGGTGCCACCCCTTTTATAGGCGGTACAATTCACTAAGTCAAAGCCCTCTGATCGAGGCTCGTCGTTTAGCGGACGTCACCTGTCCTTAGGTCTTGTCCCTTTCATCCTATCGCTTTCACCAAGTCTTCGTTGAACGTCGCTTTCCGTACATCGTTGTCGCGGGGTTCGTGCTCGGCTTGGCTGGCCGAGCCGAGCAGGAGGGACGAGCGGAGCGCAGAGCCGGGCAGCAGGACGAGCGGAGCTCTGGGCCGAGCAGGAAGACGAGCGGAGCTCTGGGCCGGGCAGGAACGTCCAAGCCCGATACTTAGGAAATTTATGCTGATGTCAGCCCTAGTGCTGGTGTGGGGTTATTCCCCATCAGTATGTATGTATGTATGTATTATAAACCTTGCGGATACGAGATTTTTCAAAACCAAGAGGTGTCATAATTATTTTATATTCTATATGATGAAATAAATAATGAAAATAAAAAAACAAAATATAAAAAATGATTATGTAAATAATATCTGAGATATTTTTTTATTAGGAAAAATTATCCAAAATAATCTCAACTTTACCCATTCTTTCAAAAATAATCCCACCTTTCAGTGTGATGCATAATAATCTGAACTTTACTGAATTTTGCAAGTTTTGGGTCGCCGTTAAGTTTCTAACGGAGGGTTAACGAAAATGCCTGTTTTGGGCAACAAAATGAAAGTTTGGATTATTTTTGACGAATTTTCTTTTTTTTTTTGAATTTTTCATTTAAATTTTTAAAATTACTTTCTACCTCCATCATCATTTCTTTTTCCTTTTTTAAAGATTAGTCTTAGCTTAAAAAAATAAAAATAATAGATATAAAAAATAAAAAATGAGAAATGTAACTAAAATGATACAAGAATAATAAAATAAATAAGGTAATCAATAGAAACTAACTTGAAATTGGTCATAAATAAAATAAAAATATACGGGTGGGTTTAATATTTTACGCACTATACAAAGTATTAACGTATCACTTCTTATTTTTTAGAAAAAATTATATACAAAGTATTAACGTATCACTTCCAAAAAATTATCTACAAGCCATCTAGTAAAGTTCGAATTATTGTAGATAATTTTTTCTAAAAAATAAGAAGTGATACTTTGTATAGTGCGTAAAATTTAAAACCCACCCGTATATGTTTATTTTATTTATTATCAATTTCAAGTTAGTTTCTATTGATTACCTTATTTATTTTATTATTTTTGTATCATGTTAGTTACATTTCTCATTTTTTATTTTTTTATATCTATTATTTTTATTTTTTAAAGCTAAGACTAATCTTTAAAAAAGGAAAAAGAAATGATGGTGGAGGTAGAAAGTAATTTTAAAAATTTAAATGAAAAATTCAAAAATAAAAAATTTAAAAATGAAAATTCGTCAAAAATAATCCCAACTTTCATTTTGTTGCCCAAAACAGGCATTTCCGTTAACCCTCCGTTAGAAACTTAACGGCGACCCAAAACTCCCAAAATTTAAGAAAGTTCAGATTATTATGCATCACACTGAAAAGTGAGATTATTTTTTAAAGACCGGGTAAAGTTGGAATTATTTTGAATAATTTTTCCTTTTTAGTATTAATACTTCCTCTTAATATCACTATATTATATTTGATGATTTCTCTATACATAAATTTCAAAGAGAAATTAATTTAATTTAAGTTTATAACATTATAACATGAATTTCATTACAAAAGCGTGGGGCCCAGTGGACAGGTCATAGACACGACGGGCGAGGTGAAGTTTTTGTCTATCTGGTGTCGCCTTCAACTGGTTACTGCTAATTCTTGGGTAGGTTTTTCTCTACATTTTAAAAACAAATTAATCAAATCAAATCATTCTTCTTCTCTTCTTTTGGTTACGCAAACTCTATGTCTTTACCTACCATATATATGTGTGTGTCTATGCATGATACTCTCTTCTTTTTGTCACATTTCTATTACCGAGATAAAATATTAAGTTTTTTCAATTCATTTTATTTACATATTGGTAAGAAAATAAAAAATAAAAATTACATATCAAAAAACTACATGAAAAGTTCTTTGAAATAAGAGGTGTCAAAAATATTTTATTTTATCAAATAACCATTGAAAACATAGAAATAAATAAAAGTTCTCGCGACTGCTGAAAAAGCAAACATTGCAAATAATTTGGGACGGAAAGAATATATATATATATATATATATATATATATAGACACACACACTCCGGGGTATATATATATAGTACTCCCCACTAGTCTCCCCTTCCAGGTTCTTGTGAAAAAAGAAAAACCAAACCATTTTATATGGAAAAAATTTGAGGAACTCCAAGTCAAACACTTCCCTTTTAACGTCAATGCCTTTATCGATATTGTAAACAGATAACAATATTTGGTGTCGGTAAGACTTGTAAAGACTTTGAGGTAAGACTTTTAACGTCATGACCACCGGTAATAGTCATGAAGCGCCGGGGCTTCAAACTGGGGCTTTAAATTTTCTCTCTGCCACGTCAGCTTTAAATTACACCCAAAATTCACTGGAAATGGTTTTGAAGCCCCGGGCTTCAAACTGGGGCTTCAAACCTTCATTTTTTACATTTTTAAATATACATCTTCTAAATTTAAATTTATAAATTTAAATTAATTTATTATTTTAATGAATCGCAATGACACTATTGCATAAAAAAAATTAAATTCAATATAAAAAAAATCTTACATTCATAAAAAAAAAATTAAAAAAAATTACATAAAAAAAACAACAGTACAAAAAAATCACTAATTATTCGAACGACTAAAGATTACTAAAATCCTCCGGTGTATAAACACACGGATTATTAAAGTAGTCGTTTAGAAGTGAATCGTGGGCGGCCGCTTGATCCCGGTTTAGACGTTGGCGTCGGTTCCGTCGTCGGGAGGATTCGGCTTCTTCTTGGCCATCTTCCCACCATTGAATACAATTTGTCGCGAAACAACGAAAAAATAAAGCTCTTCTTTCATCGTCGGAAGATGAACCCATTTTTAAATTATATTTTATAAATATTTATAATAAATAATAAATATTTTTGAGAGAATATATAGTAATAAAGAGAGATTTGTGAGAGAGAGGTGTGAGGAAGATGAATGAGAAGGAGGGATTTTATAGGGTTTTTTTTTAATTTAGATTTTTTTTTTAATTTGGGGGGAGGAGGGGGGGTAACGGCTCTATAGCCGTTGGGAAGGGGAACGGCTAAAAAAATCGGCCCTCACGCCGCGTCACAGGGCTCCTCACGCCCGTTTAACGCCGGCGGGGGCGGTGTTTCACGCCCCCGGGGCGTTTAACGCCCCATAACGCCGGTGGGCGTGAGGAGTATTACCAGTGCTCTAAGAATGAAGTGTAACTTATGATGAAAAATGTTATATTAACCCTAGTATATAAATCCTGACTTTAACGTAACCACACGTACTCCTTTACAAATCTTACAGACATTCTTGGGGTTAAAGATAAGGTTTACATTTTGGGGTCAAGGTACATACGTAGCATACTCAACTTGCATTGGAATCTAACTAGCTTAGCATGACTCTTTTTTTTACTTTTCCCCAAAGTCTATGCATAAGAGTCCTAATTTAACCACACGAAATTTTAAAATGTTATTAAATTTTAAAAGTAAGGATAACGAATTAAAATTTAAAATGTAGTCTTGAGTTTTGACTTTTTTTAGCCAACCGGTTTCAGCTTTGACCTATAATTAAATAAAATATATATTGTATATTAATTATATAAAATAATGTTTTGAAAATATTTTATATAATAAATACAATAAAACTATTTTTTATCAATATCTAATATCTTTATTATTTGGTGGGGTCAAAATTTGCCAATTTTGATAAAACAAAAGTCAAAAATGAACAAATAATTCGAACCCGGGGAGTATATTTTAAAACTATATCAAAAATTTAATAATAAACATGTAATAATATTTTATTTTGTTAAATAATCAATCACATCACATAAATAAACACATTTATTAGGGGCAAAATCAGAAGTGACATCCTAACATAGAGGGGGATGTAGTCAATGTTGCACAGTTGCATTATCCCTAAGTCATACTACGTATTTTATTTAATTATTCTCTCCTATTTCTTTTTAAAATTTATTCGTAAAAATTATATACTCAAGTCGATCATCCATTATTGTTTAGTTTCAGAATTTTTAATTAGGCAGCAGTATTATGTAATTAGGCTGATATGATTTGATTAGAGAAGAATCCAAAAATACATACCATATTTCTTGGAACACTTAATAATGTAGCTCCACTGTACTTTACCATTTTGTATAGTCTCATGAAAGAGATTTATAGAAAGTATTAAAAAATATAAAAAATATCATTGTTGAAATTGACAAGAACTTTGCCAAAGATTGTCACGGAATTGTCGTGACAAAAGAGTGCGGGGCGAAAAAAAGATGGTTGGAGAAAAGGATTGTCACTGAAAATTCAGTTTGCAGTTTGTGACAAAATCTGTGACAAGAGCGCATTTTTTATAGTGGAAGAAATAGCATGTGATCCATATTAATCGATTTCATTGTCGACGATATGTGAACGTAGAGTTTATTTATCATGCCCAATTAGCAAGTTGCCATGAACTTGTTATACCACATTGTTACTATGAATTTGGAATTAACATTTCCATATTCTCTTACAATAGGGCAATATCTGCTTAATTATGGAGAGGAGTAATGATAGGTGTTGATAAATGGATTAGGTAACAAATGTGTTTTCCAAATACCAATGTACTGTACTTCATAAATATACACCACAATGCCAATCACTTCCATACATATTGTCCCGATCACTTCCAATGTAGGCGTACGCCGTAACACATAAGAAGTCCTATTTTTGTATAAGCTTTATGTTTCAATCTTATTTAGTTAGATTTCTTTCATTCTTCCCTTCAGTGTCCGTTGTTTTCGCGCCTTTCTTTTCTCCATTCCCATGGCATCTCGGGATTTTTGGATGCCCATAGTCCAATTCGTTTTGCTCTGGCGTCTTTCTCCCACTAAAAGACACACAACCACACAGATGATGATAGGCATTCAGAATATAGCATTGCTCCATAGCTCTCAACATCAAAGAGAGCAAAACTTTCTACTTTCGGTCCAAGAAAATTGGGTCATTTCTAGTTAGTTATTTATCCTTCAAAAATCAGCAGGAAACCATGCAAAAGTTGCTCGGGTTGGTTGAGAATAAAGTGGAACGAATCCAATCATGCAACAAAAATATGAAAAATTTGGAGGGTGGCTAACAAATTGAAAAAAAAAGTGATAAAGAATGTAATGCAATAGAATAAAAATTTACTTTTGCGAGTTCGGGACGTTTATCATAGGCTGTGTAATGCCAAGCCAGACCCTTCTTGAGCATAACTTCCTGAATGGAATAAAACAGAGGTAAATATATACTCTTTTATGTATGTTGTCAAATATTCAACTGGTTTGACACAGAAAGCTCCTTAGCCTTGTTTCGATTGGCTTTGGAGTTCCGGGAATAAGAGAGGATTTTCAAGAATTTGGTTTGATACCCACATTTGTATTCCCATAATCTTGGAACTCGCGGATTCGTGAGAATCTTTGATCCCTGATTTGAAGGCATTTGATGTCTCCCCATACCTTGGGGTTTGTGTTAAAATATAAAAACCATATATTCATGACCCTACAACCACAATCTTGAGTATTTGGTTGAGTTGATTTCATACCTTTACGAGCACATGACTCGCCATACCTGTACAAATATGCCATTGCAATACACATCTCCTACACACCGGCCATAGCGATCCTCATCAAATACCATCACTCTTAAGCTCTTGCCTTGAACAATCTTAACCAACTCTTCCTTTGATTCTCTTCCAAACGGCATTTTGCTTTCCGGTGCGTCTATACCTCTGTTTTTTTCTTATTCCTATATTAGTCACCAATCAGACCTCCTCATATACAACGAATGCTATCATTTAAATCGTACCTTAATCGAATCCTATATTTCCGAGCAAGAACTTCCTCCTCATTTACCCTTATTTCCCTGCAAGAACATCTTCCACGGTTATTAGATAACAAAAAACATTCCTAAACCATCAACTACAAACTTGAAAGCTTTTTGGTTGAGTTGGTCCATTGACTTGGTACGAAAGTCTTTCTGAGCTAGAGGTCATCTCAACATCTTCTAGTTTAAAAGTATTAATGTTTTCAAACATTTTTGGACATTCAGCTACAAGTTTGAGCTTTATGTGACTAACCGATATCCAGAGTTAATAATCTGCTGGTGCAGCTCATCTGCTCGTGCATAGTTTTTACGCGAACGTGCTTCTGATCTTTGGTGAGCTGCGGCTGCAACATCATTCGGGACACGAGATGCTTCTCGGGGATCTGTGGCTCGTACATATACAGTTATTGTATCCCCATCTGCTACTGCCTTTGCATCTACCTAATGATATCATTTAAGCAGGTGATTAATAATTGGGTTGGTATAACTCTAAATGACCATAAACTACACAGATTGAGTACAACTAACTAGACAACTTAATGCAAAACTTTGAACAAGTACCAAAAACACAACGCCACATTGATAAGAATTTGGGATTGGATAGGAGTTCACACAATCGGTCCACAAAAGATTGGAGTCAAACCAAATTAAAAGATTGAATCCAATCGATTAAGTAATTCAACTCAAGATATCTTATTAACCCATCATTCTGTTCTGTGATGTGGGATACACTTACACACATTCAATAGCTTACCGGCAATGTAAGCAATTCAAACCGGAGACCATTTTGGTGAGGTGGGGGAGTTCCATCAGTCAGTTCAACTAGAGAACCGGGAAGCGGGAGGCCATAGAATACCAGAAGTCCCTGTAAACAAAATGGGAATGTTTGTGATCCGAAGGAACTACTCTCTCCTTTTCTACTATAACGGACCATTATTACTTTGTTGATACATTGAAAAATGAATGAATGTGTACACGAATTGTGTCCGTATTCATTCAACATTTCATAACGGTCAGTTAAAAGTGAATGGAAGAAGTACATATTTTTGGAGTAAATTGGGGAGTACTCCTTAAATATTTATGGATTTTAGATTTCCACCTCCACATCTGCTTTCTGATGTCCTTTCAGCGTCTGGATTATGAGTCTTGAAGCTTCTTCTGGAGTTCTTGGTGGAGGTTTTGCTTCCCTCCAAGCAGCTGAAAGTTTCCTATACCTTCAAAATCATCAAATTACAGATATATTTTAATATCTGCAAATTACTCAACTTCATACAATTAGGGTTCTTCAAATGAGTCTAGAACAACAATTTCTCCAAGAACCAAAATGGGGCGATTATGTTCAATACCAATTGGATTGAGCCTTCCTGGATGAGACCACGTGCTGACCTAATCCTGCCGGAACCTTAATTTTTGCAAACCAAAAGATCAAAGCGTGTAGTTGGACACAGAAAGGAAATGATTTACAGTTTAATCACAACGTTCTGAGATAAGGTTTTAGGCGAAGCTTGAAATGAAGAAAAAAAAGGAAGTGCGGGTAACCTGGGAAGTGATCTCGTAGTTGTAGAGATCTTGAGCGAGAGCGGAGACTCCGACGGTGGCCGGAGTTACGCCGTGGTGGCCTGGAGCCTCGGCGTCCGCCGCCGAGCCGCACAAGAATCTTAAAGCGTTACCCATTCAAGCCGCTGTTGCTTCGAGCTCTCATCAACTGCTAAACACGAAGAATGAAAGAATCCTATGAAGAATTGAAGCAAATTCTTTGGTTTCTTTGAAGAATGGAACCAAATCTATCAACTCGCTCCGAGTATCTTTTAGATCGGATGAGTCAGAAACACAAGGCTTGTGACGACTGGTCTGTCTTATTCTCCCTCCACCAATAACTTTTTAAATTGTACTCCTCCCTTCAAAAATTATCTTTTTCGGTTGTGTGTTACTATATTAGAATGAAATTATTTTCAAGTATAAAATTTGATGTAAAATTAAAAAAATAAAATTTACATATTAAACAATTACATGAAAAAATCTATAAAACTAGAGCTGATATGACTATATTATTTTATCAAATAAGTAACGAAGATATATCAACAAAGTAAATAAAAATTGACCATGTGAATAGTGAACGAAAAGATAATTTTTGATCGAATGGAGTACTCCGTAGTAAAAAACAAATTGCTACTAGAAATGGAAGGATATCACCTCTACGGCTGTACCCATTTGTTTTGTCACGTGACAACGTCTACTCACACTTTTTAAATTTTTATAAGAAAGTCTTCCTAATATCTTCAGATTGGATGTCTCAAGTTACCGTCTAACTGGTTTTGAAGAGTTCCTAAGATTTGAGACATCATTTTTTTAAATTTTAAATTTACTACAATAATTTTGATTCATCTCACTATTTTTAGACATGTAGTAAAAGAGTGGTAAAACATTTTCTGAAAATAAAATTGTCTATACATTGATGTTAAAAATTACGGAATATGAAGTAAGAAGGAAGGTGAACCATTCAACAATGGCAAGCGTTTTCAAAAATGTTATAAATAGCTCACAAGGCACAACTTAATTGGCAAAGACAATTGGTGAGCCTTGCTGGCAACCTACATAGTGGGAGTTTGAATCTTAATGCTGAGTGTTTATATTCGATCTCTTCTAGGTGAGATTAGCCGTGACAAAAAATTTATTATCGCTAAAGAGTTGTGACACATCATACAATTACCTAATTCATCCTTTTTAAACGTTATAAATATTACTTTCGGATAATTTTTTCCACCAAAGTTCATATTAGCACAATAAATTTTGAAGTGGTGATATGAAATATGAACTTTTTACCCTCTAGGGGCATACTTTAAGGCAAAAACAATTAATTTGGTCTGAACAATGATCAATAAATATTGAACATTCATACTACATTGAAGAAAACATATAAGTATTTAAAATTACTTCTTCCTGCCGTTAGTTGTTGCATCCTTGCATTTGCATTTCAAACTAGAGCAGAGAACCGGCACCAAACCCTAGCGCAGAGCGGATCGCCAAGCGCCAGCATCGCCTTCCTCCGAGTAGCTACTTCTGAATCACGGCGGCCGTGGATCCGAGCTCGTGGTCGGAACCGTTGAAGCAGATCACTTTCCTACCCCTTTTCCACCGTCTGAATCTCCATCTCCACCCGCGTTTCACATTTTAGGTAAATTATTCTCGTCTGTTTCGCCCTGTTGTAATGTCCTAGAATGGAGATTTCCTTTCAAACTACTTAATCACGTTTTAGATTATCCATTCAGGAGAGGTCTATTGAAATGGAAGTAGTTTAGTTGATATCACCATCAAAGCTCCTCTCATTACCTCAAACATATTCACCATGCAACTTTATCTATGTATTTGTTTCCAATGTATGCATATTTTCCTCATTAGATCCAGTATGGAAGGTGCTAAGCATCCAGTGAGTTGCTTTGTACACTGCAGTTTTGGATTTAGGCTTTTGTCTGTACATATCTAACTCAAAAGAGTAGGAATCAGTCACCAAAAACAGTGTCAAGCAATCCCAGGTATATGTAAAGGAAAGAGAAGTAAACAATGTACTTTATGCCCCTACAGGCTCGAATGTGGTATTGCTCCATTTATTGTTTTCCTCAGCTTTACAAATAAGTGCTATTGTAGGGGCATTTCACTCCATTACTTTGTGTTTTCCCCAAATTTACAAATTAGTCCAATTATTGTCCTCAACTTTAAGAACAAATTTTGTAGGGGTATTTAACCCCATTACATTGTAATGACCACAATAAGTGCAATTGATTGGGCATAGGGCATTATTCAGTCAAGTATATGATATTAATCTTCCCCAGTGGACCTGATACTCTCAGCTCAGTTCCGTTTTCTTGATGGCAATGCCTGCTGATCTAAGGACCCCATAGATTGCCGTGACTGTAATGGCTTGGAGAAGCCTTTATCTATGGAGATGCAGTGAGACTGCGTTGGAAACTGCAGCAACTGGTTGTCGATTCTACAGGACAAAACCTAAGGCTGTAGACTTGAGGAAGCTTAGGCCGATGATTTTGAAGAGGATCGAGAACCGGGCAAAGGATTATCCAGTGAAGGGAATGGTACCTGTGGCTGAGGAGGTCCTCAAATTTCGAGCTCTGCTCTACCATGGAGTATCCACCCTCCTCCAACATTTCCCTGTGTGGGCATGCAAGTAATTCACCTCTCTCTGTCGCAGCTTTCTATGATGTTTGTGCATACTTAACTTGTGCTCGTTGAATGTTAAGTGTTTCTTTTGCATAAAAATAAAATTATGGGGAGAGGCGTTTTGGGTATTCATTCATTACCCAAATTTTGGGCATTTGATATATTGTGCCTTTTAAGCCAACATGCTTCTTTTCAGTCTGACGGTACGTGTGGTAACGTAGGAAGTGCTTTAGTTATAAAACACAGTAGTAACTTAAAAACTGAATCATTTTTAAAAGATGCTTTTGAATCAGCCACTTGGCCTTTGACAAAATTACTAGTAACAGAGTATATGGGTTCATTCAGGAATACTTATCTGAATTGAATAAAATGTAGTGGAATTTTAAACTAAATAGTACCAAAGTGAACTGAATAATTGTAAAATTAAGTCCAAATGAACCGTTTGTCTTTTAAAAAATATCACAACACCTAATATATCTGACAACATTCACAGCACCTTCTTATATAGGAGTACATAAATTACTAAACGGACTTTTTTTTCTCACTTTATTCAAGTTCATCACTCTAAACACTAATATCAAATGGCCCCAAGTGTGTGACATTAAAAAGATCAAGGTTTTGTATGAAGATTGTGCTGCACTTAGGGACTTGAAAATGCTAATTTCTCTTTGGTGTTTTTTGAATGACTTCCACCCCCTTTTTTAGTTACGAAGTATCTTGCAAGAGAACTAAGCTCACTTATCATTATATTCTCATGGAGTAATTAATTCTTTTGCTGCAGATATTGTCAGGAAGTGTATGTTGGAGAAAGCGGACACTTAATTCGAACCTGTGGTGGTTATAGGCGCCGTTCAAAGAACCAGCTTCATGTATGGACCAATGCAACTTTAGACAACATCCTACTCCCTGTTCAAACTTTTCATCTGCACAACATGTTTCAAAACATCATCAAACACCAGGAAAGATTTGATCATGACAGGATTCCCGCTGTTGTGGAGTTGTGTTTGCAGGCCGGTGCCAACCCAAATGATGAAACCATACACAAACTAAGCATGGATTTGGAAAGCTATTTGAGAACCGAAACCTCATTCGAGCAGAAACTGATGTTGGCAGGGATGGAGACACTGAAAGCTTGGGAAACGGTCAGATCCGGAGTGGAGAAACTTCTTTTGGTTTATCCTGCAAAGGTCTGCAAACACTGTTCAGAAGTTCATGTGGGACCCTCCGGACATAAGGCTCGGCTTTGTGGTGTATTCAAGTATGAGAGTTGGCGGCGAGGGCATTTTTGGGAGAAGGCAAGCGTGGATGACTTGCTCCCTCAGAATGTAGTTTGGTACAGACGACCCCAAGACCCTCCATTGCTAGTTGATGAAGGTCGGAACTATTATGGTCATGCTCCTGCAGTTATCGATCTATGCACGAAAGCGGGGGCCATCCAACCATCTAAATATAACTGCATGATGAAAGTTGATGGGTTATCACCGCCCGTAGCAGCCACAACTTAGTGACATTCATCATTTTCCGAGGATTATAAGGCCTTCGGATTATAATACTCCTGGTACAGCACTAATAAACGACAGAATTCTCTCCATGTCTGGCGATTTTGCTAAGGTATGTCCAGATCCTGGAAGATTGCTACTAACAAAATATATTTTCGTATGCCGTAGTTGAAAAAGAAGTATGGCATTTTTAAATAAGAGCAATGAACTGCAGTTTAGTTCCATTCTTATTATATGTGTGTGTGTGTGTGTGTGTCTAAAGGAACGCTACAAGTTCATGCTAATTTTCGAATGCAATAATGTAGGAATATGTACTTGCTCTACAATCTAGATGAGATATATTTGGCTACCTTTTCTCCATGAGCCTTAAAGATTACAAAGAAGTAAATTTTAGCATCTCATTGAAGTGTATAAATTAGTGAAGTGAATGAAAATGACTATGTAATGTTGAGGTACCTTCATAATGGGTCTAAATCATTGACCGGGCTAAAACGGTCTATATTATTTTCAGATTTATAGACGGGACTTAGCTCGGAAAATTGCCCGCTAAATTGAGGATGCTTCTGGGCTCTTTTGGATACCTGGTCTAATTCATGCTTTTAAGAAGGGTTAATGTTGCTCAAACCTGAATGTTGGAGGCCTACAGGAATGTCACTTTAGAGGACCCCTGGCATCGTGTTGTGGTGCAAAAGTACGGGGATGCAAATCTAGGTAGCTACGTGATTATAGCAACTCGACACGAGTGCATAGTAGTCGATCACAATGTTCCATGTCGACCGTAAATGATTGCGACGATTTCTCCCCTATAAATACATGTATTGTACTTTTCGTTCATTTGAGGGTATTTTTAGCCCTCCCTTCGTACATTTGCAGGACTATTCCAGTCTTTTGCTCATTTACTTTTTCATACTTTGGTCAATGGGCACGTGTCCTTGATCATCATGTGTGTCGTACAAATGATTATCATTTGTGTTATCTATGCAATGTTTGGGTGTACCTGTAGTAGCAACCATTTAACGGCAATAGCATGGTTCTTTTTTTTAAAGTCTTAAGTGTTGTCCCAAAAAAACGAAATGGTGTCGTATGGGTTCTCAGCATCTCCTCTCTCCCTCTCTCTGACCACCGGTGCCTCTGCGGCAGCACCTTTAGGCTGCCGGAACCTGCTCCGCCTCTCCTCGGCCTTGGACAGTCCGTGATTTTCAGGGAAGGTATTTTTTTTATTTAATAGATTTGATTTGTTTAATTATTTTTTAACACGGGCAAGGTTCCCATGACATTAGGAACCAATATCATGGGATGACCCGGTAGCGCTCCGGTGCCCCGTTCATAAAATTGAAGGTTCCTATCCCTCCTAACCCCTAGTAAATCCCCCCGCCTCGCCCCGATCCGAATACACTCCCCCCACCCTCTTCAATTGCACCACACGAGTTGATTTTGACTCTGGAAGTATTCAAGGTGCATCTTTTCTCTCCACCCTCTCAACAAAACTGCCGGTGTCGCCCCTTACTCTGCTAGTTCTTTATATCATCGCAGCCGCTCGTTCTCCCGTACCTAATGTCACCCCGCCTCAATTATTTCCCCACCATCAATTAGACCTGGCAAAACTGACCCGGACCCGAAAACTCGAACTGAATAATCCGGAACCAAACCCGATTTGACCTGAAAACTGAAGAACCGAAATAGACCTGAACACCTTTAATGATCCGAACCGATCCGAACTCGAACCGAATGTATTCAGACCCGATTCAGATCTGAATCCGATTAAACCCGAATCGATTAAACCCGAACCCGATTAAACCTAGAACCGATTAGACCCGAAATTAATTAAATTTTATGTACGTTCGTGTTAAATAATAAAATAACTACGGAGTATATCATGAATTGATTAAATTTATTATGTGATATTATTGATTTATTAGTAAATACTCCGTATTTGATATATATTTGAACTAATATAAACCTAAATCGATGCAAACCTGAATCGATGTAAACCCGAACCGATACAAACCCGAATCGATATAAACCCGATCCGATACAAACCCGAATCATTACAAATCCGAACCGAAACTGAAAACCAGTCAAACCGAAATTAACCCAGAACCAAACCGACCCGAACCGAACCGACCCGAAACGATTATAACATATATTCGAATGAGACCCGAACCGAAAAGACCCGAACCGGAACCGAACCGATTGACCCGATTGTCAGGTCTACCATCAATCGCCTCAATTGTGGTACATAGTAATATTACAAATTAAATTTACTATGTGTCATGTTATTGTTAAATATTTTGAATTATTTAAAGGTTTGAGATAAAATTTTAATATGTATTAAATCCTCCGTCCCAAATTATAATGCATGTTTACTATTCACAGGGTCAAACTTCATCCAATTTCTTTCTCTATTTTCGTTAGTAACTTGATAAAATAAAATATTATTGTCATTACTAGTTTTGTAGAGCTTTTAATGTACTATTTTAATATGTAATTTTTATTTTTTAACTCTATAACATTTGTCATATAAAATGATTTGAAAATAATTTTAGTCAAACGTCATAAACCGAAACAGACACTATAAATTAAAACGGATGGAGTACTATTTTGTCATTTTATAGGTAACGACTTGCGAAGCACGAACTATGTGCCTAGGTTCCCACAGTTTTTGTACATACAAAAAGTGCTAAAGGAGTACTTAACATGGTAATTCACATTTTAAGCTTAAACATCTAAGCCAGATTTTGTTCAAAACAAGAAGAAGAAGGTAAAGGGACCAGTTCAGTTTCTTCTGTTTTGTCATTTGGAACCTTAAATTCAAATGCAATCTTTGTTTTTCTAGAGTCGGAGCAACAGGGGGGTGTTTTTGTTAGAGTAGCTAAGAGACGAAGGCATAGGGGGTGCACGTTTTATCATCACTGGCTTGTGGTAAAGATAATTATGATTAAATATAAAAATCCCGTGTTACAAAAAAACTAATTATTGATTATTTTTTTTAAATTTTTTTTGACAAAGGTGCCAACTGCCACAGACGTTATTGATTTGTACTTAATTCATCCCTTAGAGCAACTCCAATGATGGGAGGTATTTTGGAGAGATATATATCTCATTTACCTCTCCGAGTGATCAAGTTTATCTTTCCAAAAAGTGTGCAACTCCAATGGGAGAAGGTAAATCAAAAGGTAAAAGAGGGAAAAAAATTCATCTCCATACATTATTGGAAAAAAATTAGTTGTTTGCCTACTTAAATCAAATTTTAATTATTAGAAAAGAAAACATACATTCTTAAAAAAATCATGGGGAGGTAAATTTGAGGTTTGTTGTCTTTGTTTCTTCCTGATTAAATTTTTAAATTTAAAGATTTTATAAAAATACCATTAATTTATTGGGAAAAAATTAGAATGTCATTTTTGAAATAATTAAATATACATTATGACTAATTGCACATGTAAAATTATAAATACCCGAATAGAAAAAACTTAAAAATACAGAGTGCAAAATTAAAAAACAAAGTATCCTTTGTAATGTAGATCGAAGTCATGAAAGACTTGTACAAGTCTACTTAATAAATTCTTGTATCCCTGTCATGTTCACATTTGTAATGAAATACGTAAATATTTATATAAAGAAACATAAGACAAATGAATTATGTAAATGAAATGTATCGGAAATTTACACTTGCCCATAAGTAGTTACAATTTAGCCTATTCGGGTTGTATTTTGGAAACAAATAAAGCTTCTGTTCTTGGATTCATTTCTTTCCAAACTCTGACAATCAACACGAAAAATTGGTTTGAGGATATTTTGATAGTATTAGCGATAACATCTTTGTAGGTTTCGCGAACTTTTTCCTTCACCTACTGCTAAAATAACATTCAATGAAGATAATAGTAACACCAGAATATATTACAAAGCTTCATATTAAAGGGGATTCAATGCACCTTAACGATATCTCTAATCAAAGAAAAAGTTTAGTGTCGCAATTAGACAGATATCTCTTTCTTGATTAAAGGAATGAGGGGTTTAAGAACATTTAACAATTAGTCCTTAGTAGTTAAGTACTCACTCCGTCCAAAAATATTCTTCCCACTTTCCTTTTTGGTCCGTCCAGAAATATTTTTCTCATTTCCTCTTTTAGTATACTTTTTAAGGATAAATATCAATAATATCCTTCTATGTTATCACAAATCTACTTTTTTAGTACTTTTTTAATAATAAAAGGAGATTTAAAAATTTATAGTATGTGCATTTTTGAAAATTTTGCATTTTTTTACTATTCTTTAATAAGCGTGCCAAGTCAACACGGGAAGAACATTTCCGGACGGAGGGAGTAATGTCTTATCACACACACCGGTTACGCTCAATCTCATAGTTACTACTCTCTCTGTCCTAAAATTAACTTCTCATTTTGACTTTTGCAGTCAAACTTTTTAAACTTTGATTGTATATTATGGAAAAAATATATTGAATTTTCATATAAATTTATTATCAATAGATTCATTTTGAAATATATTATTTTTATTATGTATAAAAATGGAGATACTAATGGTCAGAGTGTCGCATTAAAGACCGTGAAAAGTCAAATGAGAAGTTAATTTTAGGACGGAGGGAGTACATTGCAACTATGGGTTTCATTGTTACTATCCTCAACCCATATTGCAGCAATTTGCGAGGCTGTGGGAGTGTTGTAAATTCTTTGGTCTAAGCCTGGATTGTTATGCAACTTTATACTAAAGTCTGCATCATGACATAAATCTTTTAGACTTTTGAAGAAGCGAGAATATGGGTTATCTGAGATGACTTGAACAAGGGTTGATAGTATGTCTTTGTCCAATCTGTCAGATGTTTGCATCCTATCCTCGATTTGCTGATCTGTGTCAAAGAAGTATAACTGCAGATTCTTTGGAGTTTCTTTGTTCACGACGGCTATCATCAATTCTTGTATTGGTAGAGGTAGAACCAATTTCCATTGGATCTTAATAAAAGTAAAAATAACCTAGATCACATACTTGTAATTGCTTACAATTAAATACAGCGTATACATAAGGTGGAAAGAAATCATTATCTAAGACTAAGGTAAGTAGGGTACGTAGAAAGGATTACAATAACTACACTAAATGGGGCAATTACATAGCATGAAAAAATGATTTAAATATATTAAAAGCAGATGAAAGGGATTGATGTGTGCCTGGGCTATGTAATGAATGCAAGCTTCCTGTATGCTGCTCTTTTTAAATCTGAAAAAAGTTGTATCTGTAATAATTACCAATCAATCCTAATAAAAGTTGTAGGATCGAAAAAGTTTAGGTAAAATGAGAACAATTCTTATAGTGAATGCACACAAAAGATATAAAAGCTGGAACTGTTTTAAGATGATTTCAATTAGTAGATCCTCCAGTAAGGATAGCACAAAACGTAAAGGTATATGATGATTTATGAACCAATCTATCCTCTTAAAATGTTTGATGCACAAAACATTTAAAGAATTGAGGATGTATTTACTATGTACTATGGTAAGCATAGGAGTAAAGGAAGCATAAATGATCCAGTTTCTTCATGAAAATCAACATCAACATCATATTATATAGGAAAAGCAGCCACTAATATTTCTCTTTTCTGTTGGAAATCAATGCACACTGAGATTGCTTTAAAAAATCAGTCCCCATATGAAAAAGGATATGTTATTGTTATTTTTTAGAAAGGAAATACACACATCGAGCTTGACTTCTCTAATTACCTTAAAAACAAAGTGCTCACCCATATTTACTACACAGACTACACAGTCTGAACCAATTTTATTTAAAAGAGATCAAAGTCAGTCCTTATTGTTTCAA